TGCGTAAGCTCCACATACATCATCAGCAAAATGTTAATTGTGCAGTCATATCATATACTCCAGAACAAGTTAGGATTCTGCACAAAGAGGCACAACTGTTGCTATGCAAGGTGTTGTATTAAACAAAGCCTGTCAATCAGTATGTACTTACAGGTGCAATCCAAACAACCCAAAGCGGTCCTGGCAGCAGGTTAAAGTAAAATACAAGAACATTGTCCAAAGTGGTAAGTGTAACTGTACACATCATGATTGCTTGTTTATGCTCTTTTGCCTATGTTAAAGAAGATTATCTCAATGGCTTTTATTAAAAGTTACTCACACTTCCCCTAGCCAACTGCAAGAAAAGCCAAGGCAAAAAAACAGGAGGGGGGCCTCCCCCACCTCCTTATCCAGCAGCTGAGGAGCTGGCTTTGGAGGTGACCCGTAGAAGGCAGATTATGGATGGTATCGCTGGGGGCAGCTCTTCAAACCCTGGGAGCAGCAGAGGTTGGACCCCTTTTGTTGAATGTATGAACACAATCTGAGTATGTAGCTTGGCAAATGTCTGTCTGACTACCTATTGTGATGCAGACTTTATTGTTACAGTACACAATGATTCCCTGATTTTGAGGGCCCAGCCTGCTCCAATAGGTGGAGCTTCTCAAGCAGAGGTATGTGTAGCTGTAGACACTATATATTGAAAAACATTAATATTAATGTAAACCTATTTTCATAGATGGATGCCACAGGAGATGAGGACACCATATCTGCATGCTCAGAAAGGCCTGTAGAGGTTAGTGACCTTTGTCATGTACGGCTAAAATAAGTTGCGTAACAACTTTGTGCAACAAAATAATGTAAGAATGTGAAGCACTACATTTAACTGTAAGCGTCAAAAGGATCAAGTCTTTTACGTACCTTGATCCAGTTTCTGGTATAGTGTGGACTCCCTGAAGATCTGAGAATCGTGTACTGAACCAGGCCATTTAGCATCAATACTTGTTATCACTCACTGATGATCACAAGTCATCTGAAATAGATATGTTCGGAACATCGAATATAGTTATGGACAATAATAGTGTTATAGCAGTAAATAATGTAATGGAATCAATCATCTAGGCCCATGCAGTTTCATTACTAACTGCACTGACAGTTTTTAATTTTGTACTTGCACATTGATGCTGTGGAAGGACTTTCGGTTTACATAGTCAGCCTCATGCTCTCCCAAGGCTGTCATTATGGGAATGTGGGTGCAAACAATGGCATTTTTACTCAATCACTCTGAGGAATCCTAGGAATCCTAGAAAAAAAGACCCAAACATTATCTACAGCTACTGACAGTGTATTACTCAAAGATGAGCACAGCAGGAATAACTACCTGCAATCTGATAAAAACATTCCTTTATATTTTGCACTGGCAAGTGGCCTGGAAACAGTACAAACACATCTAGCAGCTCTTTCAGTCCAAGGTAAACCCTGCGTATAGCCCGACATTGTTCTTGCTTAGGTGCTCAGCATCCCCCACTGGGTACAAATAAGGGCCAGTGGAGAAGTACCGCAGCGCTATACAAACTGTTTGTGGCACTATAAGCGCGTAGCTCCGGAGGGTGGAATTGCTAACATAAGGCTCAAGAGGTTTGCATATATAGATAATGCCCTTAGCTGAGAATCTATACCTTTCAAACAGTACATCATTGGGCAAAGCAAGCGGATTTAATCTGTCCCTAAATACTCTTGCGCTATGCAGTTACAATGCGAGCGCCAATATCCACTGGGTCATCTAAGAAGGGTGACACCATTTTTTGGAAAGATAGGATTGGTTTAGAGGATTGCATTTAGTCTCTTGGGTTCGAATCATTTTAACCTGCTCTGAGCAGGTTAGCTTCAGGGGATACATTGCTATGATGATACAACTTGCTTGCAACTGAGCCACCGTTGTGACATCGATGAGTCTGAATTAAACACCAAGTGAGATCTAAGTTAGCTTGCTAACCCTGAAATCCTGCTTCATAGTACACCCCCTGCCCTCTAAAGTTATCAACAAACATCAAATAAACAAATGTTACTCACCGCCACCCTCTAAAGGTGTTATTAACATCAAATAAACAAACATTACTCACAGTCGCCCTATAAAGGTGTTATTAACACACATCAAATAAACAAATGTTACTCACCGCCCCCCCATAAAGGTGTCATTTATATCAAATAAACAAATATTACTCACCGCTGACCTCTAAAGGTGTTATTAACAAACACCAAATAAACAAACATTACTCACTGCTGCCCTCTATTGGTGTAATTAACCAACAACAAATAAACTAACATTACTCACTGCATTCCTTCAAGGCTGTTTCCTGCCTTCCGCCAAATGAGCGCTGGGATGGACTCTAGCTCCCCCCGCAACCCAGAAGGATAAGTGGCTTAGATAATGTGTGTATGTGTTTGTGTGTGTGCGTGTCTGTGTGTGTGTGTGTGTGTGTGTGGGTGTGTGTACTTACTGCCACCCTCTAAGGTCAATATTAACAAACATCAAATAAACAACTATTATTCACTGCTGCCCTCTAAGGGCAATATTACCGAACAGCAAATAAACAAACATTACTCACCGCCACCCACTAAAGGTGTTATTAACAAACATCAAGTAAACAAACATTGCTCACTGCTGCCATCTAAAGGTGTAATTAACATCAAATAAATAAACATTACTCACAGCCACCCTCTAAAGGCATTATTAACACACATACAATCACACACACACACACAAACACATTTTCTAAGCCGCTTATCCTTTTGGGTCCCGGGAGCTGGAGCCTATCCCAGCAGTCATTGGGCGGAAGGCAGGAAACACCCTGGACAGGTTGCCAGTCCATCGCAGGGCAGACAGACAGACATAAACATTCACACACACACACACACTGTGTTATTAACACACATCAAATAAACAAACAGAGTCTAAATTAGTTAGAGGCTAAAAAGTGCTAAACAAATTTTTAGTAAGTCAGTTTACAAAGTTCAGTACATGTTAGGTATCTTAGTTGCTAAAAAGCCAATATTTATTCCAGACAAAAGTTCAATGGCTAAAACTTTACTTTAGAATATGAAACGCATTGTGAAGTATAATTAAACTCTTTTTAGTCTCTTAAGTAATGAACTCAAATAAAGCAATTAACCTGACACTATCTAGAATCAAATTCTGTCAATTATACACTAATGAGATGTGAATTTAGATCATTTGTAATTAGTAATTTTAATAACCATTTAAATTATTCTTTCATTAAAACTATAATACAAAAAGGGGTGATTTTAACATAACAGGCTTCTGATATGTACTAATACAGTTCATAATGAATAATACTATGTAGAAGTGTCTAACTGGAACAAAACCTTAATTAAGCCCAAACATGTGTTCCTTAAAATAAATTGTTGCCCTCTTTCTTATTACTGACATACAGTCAAATGCAGACATTTGGGCACCCCTGATCACATTACATGTTTTGTTAATTTTCTAAATGAAAATAAACAACCTCTACAGAGAACACAACACAAGATATTGCCGCTCCAAAAGTTATGGCACATTTTACTTTTTATTAATATCAAATATGTTAAAATCAAATTTGCAGAAAGATACCACACTTAATTTTGTTCGCTGCAGAGGATGTGTTAACTTATTTTCACTTACAGTACAACTGTACATACACACAAACACACACAAACACACACACACACACACACTTTTTTGAGGTCTGAATGTCCTCATTATGATAGGAAAACAAATAACATACTTGTGAGGTCATTCGGCTTGTCCTCACAAGAAGTCATGCTGTTTTTACGTGTTTGTGTGTGTTCTCCAGTACATTACAGTAAAAAGATGGTTCTTTAAGGGTTCTATATAGAACCATGAACACTCAAAGAACCCTTTGCATGATTAAGGGTTATTTGCATTGTTAAAGCGTTCTTCAGATTGATGGAGGATGTGCTGCAGATGCTTCTAAATTGAACCTTTTTGGGAAGGGTTCTGTATAGCACCAAAAAGGGTTATGTTATGATATCAAACCTGTAACAATAGAAGAAACTTTGTGGTGCTCTATAGAAACCTTTTTAAAAAGGTTTTGTATAGAACCATATAAAACACACTCTCAGTCAGTCTGTAGAACACTAACAATGCAAAGAATTCTTTAATCACGCAAAGGGTTCTTTGAGGGTCTACACAGAACCATTTCTTTACTAAAGAACCGTTGAAGAACCATCTTTTTTATTTGTGTAATAGGAGATGTGTTATTGAGTGTGTGCTATTATTGCCTTGTTTAATTTTGCCATGTTTAATGTTCTGTTTATTTATATGTTACAGTGCAGAAAAATAAATTATTTTTCTTTTTGCACACACAAACATACGCTTGGTATGGAGCCCTACTGGTGACATCCCATATAAATTAAAATAATGCGTGGCCATGACTTAGTAAGGCATTGGAACAAGATATTTAAGTTGTGTCCATGACTTTTTAAGGCATGGGAACAAGATCCTACTGCGTGGCCATGACTTAAGTGTGGCAATGAGATAATTAAGCTTTGATCACAGCTTAATAAGGCATGATCTCATTCCCACGCCTTACTAAGTTGTGGCCACAATTTAATGATCTCATTCCCATGCCTTACTAAGTCATTGCCACGCATTAGGATCTTGTTCCTATGTGTTAATACAGCGTCCACACATTATTTTTATTTATAGCACCAGCAGGGCTCCGTAGCTTGGAGTGTGGGGACTCACTAAGTCGCTTTAGGCCTCCGCATTTTAGGAAACTACCTTGTGTTAATCGACGCAAGTCTGAGGACAAATTTCGTTTTTCTTAGCAGGGCGCTCAAAGCACAGCCCACGCGTGTCCAGCAGAGGGCGCACTGCAGTCAGCTGCATCAATCAGTGACTTGCGCGCTTGTGCCTGCAGGCGGCGGTGTTTACCCGCTGAACGGGACTCAGTGGGGGTAAATAATTCAGCGGCTCGTTTTCCTCTTCCTCCGCTGTGAGAGTCTAGGCGGAGGCGGCAGCAGACGGGCAGCAAACCCGCGATCACCCCTCCTGCTACGGCCGACCTCAGTGTCCGGTTAGGGTGACACGAACGCCGCAGTTCAGCGAAATCGACAGGGACCCTCAGCCTGCTGACCGTAACGGCCATTTTAACCGTTAGAGTTTGAATTAAAGAGCCTGCGCGAGGGGAAAAGCTCCCCGAGCACGACGAGCGAACAACAGGCTGGGTGTTTGCGGTGAGAGGGGGAAAAGACGGCATCCGGCCTGCGAGAAGTCGCCGAGGGCTTCGACTCGGCTCGAAACAGCTCTTTTACTTTCTGGTAAGTGTCCTGTCACGTATTTTGGGAACGGGTGTTTCATATTTTGAGTGGAACCGTCTTCAACGTCACCCAGAAAGCTAGCTAACAGTGTAGCCGACTGTGACTGTGGAGTTCGTGTTGTAGCCTAGTAACGTTAGCAGAAGCGCTGTCTCTCCCTCCGGAGTGAAGTTAGCCTCTTCTCGCTCACTTAAGTACTATTTTATCACAAATTAGTACGGTGGTAACCTCTGTATACCAACACACTCCATTCTTCGTGTTCGTATCACGCAGTTTTTGGTCTGTGGTCGATTAACAAATGTCAAGACAGAGTGAAAATCGTGTGGAGGCTATTCAGTCAGATTCCATCGCCTCGCACTCACTGTGAGGTAACGTTAATGTTAACGTTAGCCTTAAAGTGTCACCAAACTGAGGGCGAGCTATCGTTTTGTGGCTGTTTTTTTGGGTTTTCTGTGCTTGTGTTTACGCTCACATCCGAACAAAACCCACTGGTGACAGCATGGAAATGTTGCGGCGCCTGAAACGAGGAGAAGTAAACAGGTTCATCCACACTGTCCACAGTACACAAGGCTGCCATTTAATTAGCAGCTCTGAGTTTCTTTACCTTCATTTGCGCGCTGGTTTAATCTTTCACGCACCAACCTTGCCTTGTAACTATCTTCCTCTGAAACTGGGGGTTTCCCTGCCGTGCGATTGTTGTCTGAACTTTGAACTTTCACGGGAAAAATCTCAATTTTTGTGGTAGGCAGCTCATTAACTGGGTAATCAGTTTACAACTTGAGTAACAGATACACTCGTGTTCAGGTAATGGGAACCAGTAGCAGAAGTCAGTTTAGAATGCGGTGCACTTGCTGTAATGTACCCCTTCTAAACTGCATATAAGTAGCCTCTGCTTTTCATTTTGTTGGACAGGTGTTGAGTACTGATGGATGGACAGCAATGCTGTAGAGGAGCACTCCAGCATTTTTCAATGTAATCTGTGTCTGATGCCTCTTTAGCATCCGGTTGATCATCACAGACAATGATTTTGACCCATTTTCCATGTACAAAGTAAAGGAACAGCAAGCCTGTTTGCCTGAAGCACAGTAATTACAGGTCAGTGGGCAGCTTCTGAGTGAACTCCTTGACTGCTGATATAAAGTGTTTAGAGTCAACAGATTGTCTGTGTTGCTTTAATAAGTACAAGGAAGCAGGATGAAATTTTGTTTGCTCAAAGCACACTTGTATTATATAAGTCAATTGCAGGTGCTGAAGATGCCTAAGATTAGGTTGAAAACCCTGGAGTATTCCCTTAGGTTGTACTGTGCTGTGTGTTTGGAACAAATGTCCTGTATAGCTGATCGCCCAACGGTTGTGGGTAAATTGTAATACCACATATTGATGAATGTGTTTATGAGAGTCTGTGTGTGTTTGTGTGACATTATCCTGCCTAGCTGAACGCTGGTGTCAGTATGGGCTGGTGGCCAGTGTGGTGGTTTGCCAGGGCTGGCGCTCATCTCTTTATTGGAGGCTCTTCAGATGGAAATGAGGGTGCGTTCAGCAGCCTGGCATGCAGCCGGTGCACGAATGACCCAAATCGGGACGTGCGTGTGCGTGTGTGTGTGTGTGCTGTAATGTGACCCATATGGTGACAATGGGGAGTGTTATATATAAATTTAGGTGTGTGTCTGTGTGCATATGAGTCTAGGGGCAAGCAGTATCTATCTGTGCTCCAGTTGTGGATGCTACTGTGCTCCAGTTGCGAGTAGATGGTAATGAGGAACGATGTAACATTACCACATGCTTCACACAGACAAAATAAAAGCCCCCATTACAGTCTCACGTTAAGTAAGTGCGTGAGAGACTCCCTGTAGATGAGCAGTGTTGCATGGAATTTGTCGCTTCATTGTCATTTGTGTGCTGTGTATTGTTACAGATGATGCTGATTATACATGCCCAAAAAACAACCTTTCTAAACTCACAGATGTTTCAGCCACATCTCTGCAGAGTATGGGTGGGCTAAATAGCAAAAATATGATATTTAAAGACACTTTCACAGTACTTCTAATCATTTATATTTCTGAAATTCGATAAATTAGAGCTTAGAGAGTACCAGTGGTGCCACATTTTAATAATATTATTGACTGTGAATGCAGTGATTTTGTTCAGTGTTTCACTTACTGTACTGCACTAAATTCAATTAATTAAATGGGGCTAATAACACTGTTTTTGCAATGAAAGATGCAGTTGATCAGTATTTTTTTTAAATTAGTGATAATGTGCTGGTTTTCAGATTGTTTTCTCACGATATATGCTCAGAAAAAAGTAATGGTAAAATATCAGCATATTGTCCAGCTCTAATCTTAAAACATATGGTTGATTAACAGGGATAATAATTTTGACATTTTTTCTTGTACAGAAAATGTAGAGAAAAACTTTTCAAAACACATTAGATGCTAATGGGCAGGTGCTGAATTTAACTGCCCATTGGCTTTTATTATAAATGCAGTTTGGCTCTTTTCTATAGTGCAAAAAGATACCGATACGATAGATGGATATTAGGTTGACCAATGCTGGAATATTTCTTAAATATCTGTGTTGAAAGGCAGATTATTCCAGTGTAGAGCAACAGGGACCGTGAAGTACTGTAATTGTCCCATTAAGGCAGAAAGAACATGCAGCAGTGGCATTTTCCAGGTTTGCTTTTATGTTAAACTGCTTTTTACTCTTAATACTACTTTTAACTTGGTTATATTTGGCAATATTACTAAGAATTATTATGTAACTATATTCACTGCTGTTTAATCCTCAAATGTGGTAGTATTAAAAGGAAAAAAGGGAGAGTGTAAGTGGCGCTGAAGGTGTCTGCCTCAGTCTTGCATTTATTAGCACCCTTTCTTTTAGCTAATAGTGATCTGTAAGCGAGCAAGCCAGTGAACGAATGAGTGAGAAAAAAAGATGCAGGCATTGGGAAACTCGAGCTGTACTGTGGAAAAGTAGGCACTAGATACTGTTACCAAAGGCTTTTCTCTTTCTCTCCTTTCTCCCTCTTTCTCTAAAACACATACAACAATGCTCAATTTTTATACAGACTTTTATGAGAATATGTTATGTATCCAGTTGTGTACGCATACAGACACCTATGAAAACAAACTGGATACGAGATTGCATTCCACATAGTCTTGTCCACCCCAGATATTTTCATTTACTCTGAGCACCTGGCCTGAGTAAACACGTTAACTTGTAAATGTTTTGGAAAGTACAATGTTTGCACCCCAGATAGCACTTAAATCTGAAAAAACTAAGTACTTACTATATGCTCTGAAACACAGATCACTCATACTTATTATTTTGGATTGCAATGACACAAATTTCTGTTCATTTCAGTTAAAATTTGACCATGTGTCACACTTACAAGCAAGTGTGTTTTAGTGGTGGGTGCTAAAATTCAGTTCCTAGAAGACACTTCCTGAAACATATTACACTACTGATGCTTAAAACTTGAGTGTGTGATTGTGTGTATATATGCATGTATTGGTGTTTGTATATGTTTATATAAACAGTAATTGATTCTAGTAGATATTGACATTTTTCAAACAATAGCCAGACTTAAGATCTATGACCAAATGGATGGAAAATATTGAAAGAAAAATGTTTGCTACATATTTTGTGCTATTTTATATGTAAAGCAACATTATGTAACAATTGTACCTTGCTATAACAGTTTCAAAATCATTGTCATGGTACACTGACTTATAATAGGGAGAATAACGTCGCTATCGTTGCCAATATGGGCCCAGAATGCCTGCTATAGTGCTATGCAACTTTGGAGGAGCGGTCACAAGACCTCTAATGAGAACCATGTAACGCTTTACAGCACAACATCACACATCAACAATTATGGCTCTTCAGCTAGCTATAAGAAGACGCTGGCTTGGAAATCCCTGCATGGACATCATGGCAGAGGCTGTGAAAAAAACAAAGAGGACATTGTCAGAGGAAGCGAGGAAGAGCAAATGAAGAGAGAGACTGAGTAAGAGACTGGACAAGAGTAAATCTCAGACTGGCTTTTACTTAACTTAGAGCTAAAAGAGGATGCAAGACAGTCTCACGGCTAACAGGAAAACAACAAAGCCCCAACATCAGAGTGTACATCCCTGCAAATGTTATTTATAAAAGATTGCGACGTAGGCTGCAACCTTATCTGTGTCCTTCTTGTCTCATAGAGTTTTGTCGTTTTTCCGGATGTCAGACATCATCTAACCTCAATAACGTTTCAGGCTAGCATGCAAAGAAAATTCATCTCGTGCCAAAAAATTGGTCAGCCTTTAGGTAAATAAGCCTTGAAAGTTTGCAACCTCCTGTAATTTTAGTCTTTGTAGGTTGACATGGTTATTTCTCTTCTGATGTTCTTTGCAGGTGTTGTACTGAATTCTGACTCCCCTTTACATGCATGCACATCACGCAGGCATATGGACGCTACAGATTTACACATAGAAACATCTGAAATCATGAGTATAATCTGTAGCGTCCACATGCTTGTGTATAAGTGAAGCGGAGTGGGATTCTGTATCCTTGTCAACAAGTGCATGTGTACAGCTGTCCATGAAGGGGGCTCTCTGCACAATTTGTGTTTACGACAGTGGTTTAAAAGTGAAATACGCTCTGTGAGTGTAGGGGAAGCCCAAGAGCAAAAAATACCAATTCCAGTGTAATGCCGCTTTAAAACCTAGGTTCCTTCCAGTTCTGAATAAATTAGCTGCCAGCATGGTTGCCATTGCTTTTGTCTTGGTCTCTTGCAGTCAAACACACACAGCAAATGCATTTTCATTGCTTTCATTCAGTCTCAAGACAAAGTTAGATTCTTCATGAGTGCTTGATGATATCATTCACTTTGTGGTGTGTCTTGTAGCATTTTGTTGATAGTGCTCTTGTACCAGTTGGTATGTGGTTAGCTGATGTTGATTGCATCTTACAACATAAAGTCAGAGTGTTAATCCCTCTATCATAACATGGAGAACAAC